CCGGAAGACCATAATCGGAATTTAATTTACGAGGTTTGAAAATGACTGGCGTGTTGTCTGTATCTTAAGTTATTAACATGGCATAGTAAGAATGTATGAGATTTTTAATAATGATAGATCAACCGAACAGGTTGACAGCCATATTATTTTCGAAACAGATAAATAATTTTACACTCAGCCACTCCTTGGATGTGTTACTTGAACTTGGCATGGTTGTTTGTTCGAACCCTAACGGAGACCGATTGTACCAACAGAGTTTAAATAATTTACCTCGGTATCAGAGTTCAGGTGACTTTTTTTGTAATACTTTCAAATAAAACTCAGGTTTACATGTCATTAATTAAGATGGCTGTCTTCTGGGATGTTGTATTGCGTAGTCTCATAGAAATTGATCGACGTTTCAGAGGTTCTTGCTGCCTCCATTATTAGTGCAATGGGCAACCTATTCATGATGAAGGCAGTAAGCAACTCTGATATCTCACCTGTGTGTACGATTAATTTGTCCATCAGGCTGGAATCGAATTTAAAACCTCCCGAATACGAAGTATGAGTGTTAATAATTGAGCAGGGTCATTCTATAAAGATTTGCGGATATTCGATTCATATTGACTGGTATTTAATATAGAATCCAATGTAAAACGTCCTTATACAAATAACGAATCATCGAACATAAACTTTAGGGTCCTACAGCATTAATCACATGTCGATACCCACTTGTGATAGCCCTTGCAAATGGCGATAAGCACACGCCGGTTTCTCTACAATTCCAAAAGAAATAAAGTCCTTTTCACCTCGGTCTTGCGAAACCAACAGAAACGTGATACTCACTTCCGGCCAGCCCTATCATTTAACACGCGGTGATACTGAGAAACCTCAGAACTGGAGTTTTATTGAGTTCAACAAAATCTAATAAAACTGTGATTGTGTTAGCAATAACGATTTCTACCGCACTTCTCTTCTATGTGGTTTCTGTGATACTGGTAGAGACAAACGTCTGATGTATCTAAATTGTGAGACGTAAGAACCCAGATCTAAATCTCTTTATCATTTAGAGCAGTGGTATTCAACCTGGGGTACGCTTACCCCCGGGGGTACGAAGACTTCTTAGGGGGTACGTGAAATTTAAAAAAAAAAAAATATTTTATGACAAACACTGAATAATCAGTAATGTAATTTATTTAATTTATTTTAGATGTAGATTATATACTATGTATAACTTGAATTAGACACCAACAACTTTGGGGGTACAAAGTTGAAGAGAAATTATATCTGGGGGTACGCGAACAAAAAAGTTTGAATACCACTAATTTAGAGTAAGCACACACACATATTTAATGCCTTGAGACTTTTTGTAGACGGTTGATATTAATTAAGTGGCGATGAAAATGTTCATATCCCTGCAAAAATAGTCGAAACCACATACATCTGTATCACAATGTGTTATTAAAGTTAACGCGTAGTATATGAAAAAATAACACTGAGATCATGCGCCGTGTAGTCTCGATGATAATCGCCCTGACGATAAAAGATACGCACTTCTGGAACGTCCGTCAACTAGACTACACGGCACAATAGCCCAGAAGGCCGTCATTCACACTCGCCACAGTAATAACGCGAAGTATCACGTTAAATTCACAAAATGTACTACAGGAGTCCAGACAGGTGATTACATTTCGCGTGTGATGTTGCTACAAAGTCTACGCATGTTTTTGAACACTAGAAATGGTTTCTCGAGTGACTGTCAGCTGGAGATGGACACGGTCCGGTTCTAATCTCTCTTTCCGGCCTCAGCGCCGGACCGAGTCCTGGGTTCGATTCTGTAATGTACGCGCCACATAACGGTACAGCGGAACCTGTCTGTTGCTGCTGAACTGCCTAATACTTACAGGATTTTACAACAGGTCACCAAAGACGGCAATTTGCGTCCCTTCGTATGGTTGAAATAGCCTATTCGAATCGCTTCGCGTGTTTTTTCCCTGTGTGTGTGTGTGTGTGTGTGTGTGTGTGTGTGTGTGTGTGTGTGAGAGAGAGAGAGAGAGAGAGACTCTTAGTATCTACTCAAGTCCGGATCCTTCATCACACTGGGACAAATGAACGAACACCTCATGATTTTATAATTCTGAAAATTCCGATGGCAATTCTGAACCCTTTCTTATTCCTTTTCTGCTCTAATGGACCAAAACCCTAACAGCATGATGTTAGTCAAACTAAATGCACCATGACATCTAAATAGATATGTCTTGCGTCAAAATACATTTCCTTCAAAATTTAATTAATAATGTAGAAGTTTTCATTTCATTTCATTTAATCTACTGAACATTTGGTAGTAGGCTCGGCACATCATCAAGAACATCTACCATACCAGCAACGTTCAGGATCATATGTTCTCTAAGACTATGTGGACGTAAAACCCCATCACAGTTACCACAAAATCGACAAATTCTCCCAAATTCCTAATTTTAAAATGATATACATTCAACACGTTTTATTTCTCTATCCTGTAGCACAGATTTCAAAGAGAATTTCAATTAAATCGTTAATTTAGAACTTATAACATGGAAAAATAACGTGGTACATATGATTTTTGAGGTTCTCTCGATCGTAAAGATGTGGATGTTGGTCTTCTGGGTTGTAACGCCGTGTGGATTTGTAAGCAGATGTTTCAGAAAATTTTACTGCCTCCATCTCCAGCCCTGAAGCAGAGGCAGTATGATCCTCCGAAAGCTGGTATCTACAAACACGTCCACAACTCTGAAGACAAACATCGACAGCACAGTCCATATCTCCGCATATCCGAATTTCGTTACAGAAACTATTAATAACGGGAGAAATTGTGTAGGGACACTCAACTTTTGCTGTCTAGTGGCTAGTATTCCTGCTTCAAATTCGTGAAGTATCAGGTTCGAACCTCGGAAAAGCTTCTGGACATCCTTAAGAATTACATAGTTTTATTAGTCTATTCAAATTACCCACATATACCTTTTAACATTCAAATTTATTTTCTTACGCACTGTTTCAATATACTTGTTTGAGGTTGCAGTACCAAGTGATTCAGTCTCATCCCGTTCTAAATCAATGAAATCAGTAACCGTTTTCTGTAAACGACCAACAGGCTAAATATGGGAGTAGGGTCTAGTGGTAAGGCACTGTTCATTTCTTCTTTGAATGTTTCCATGTAAAATTCTCCCTGGTAGTTATTTTGGTTTAATATTCCTCTTTGTACAGGATCGCAGTTCGAATCTAAGGAATTTCAACACACCGGTAACAGTGACCTGGATGTGTATCGCGTCGAAGAGGAGATCTTAAAAGAAATCTGTTCTGTTCCACTCGGCTTGGCAGATGTTCCCCGAAACACGATCAAACTTTCCCCACTGTGATAACCACGGCAGCAGTTTCACTGCCATCAAAAACGTTTCAAAGACCCAGGAGTCTTTGTAAAGCTCTATCATTGAAAGCAACTAACATTGTAACTTGTTTGCTTTAATCAATGAAAGTCTGGACCAGTATTAAAAATGTACTTCCACACAAAGGAGTTAAATAAATTCACATTTCCACCGCAGAGACTTATAAATAAACGACCAACACATGAAGAAAATTAAAATACAAGAAGACAACCATCTTTCTACTCACCGCCGTGAGAACCTCAATATCTACAACAATCTGTTTGCTGCAAAACGTTAGGAGGAGATTTGGTAATTAAAGAAGCAACGCAGAAGTGAGATACCGAAACATTTAGTCTTAAGACGCATAGCGATTCAGGAGTTAAAGAACAGTATGCAACAGGTGAACATTTCCAAGATACATGCAGCTTTGAAAATTTTTGGAAATAATATGATGATAAAATCGCCACAAAGGGCTAGTAAAATGTTAAAATATCAAAACTTCAGCCAAATAAAGTACAGATCATTACGAGTTCCAGAAACATAAACGATGGTTCCAAAAACAATTTGAAAAACAAAATTAATTAGACTTAAACTAACAACAATAAAAAAAATCATTAGACACAAAGACGTGCAAGAATGGTTTTCAACTTCGTACTAAAATGGCGAAAGATAAGATAGGCGACCATCCTTTAAATTCTCGCAATATTGTGAACAGGCTAAAGAATTATTTCGAAAGTTAATAATATTCTAGCTACTCGTTTTTTACAAGAACCGAACGTTCTTTATTGTGGTCTAACAAAGCATGCTTTCAAATAAACTGGCAGTTCTATTTGGTCTACACGAGTCAAATGTTGATAAACGCTTCGACTGATGAGTATGCTTGTAGAAATCGTTAATTTTTTTCTGAACTGGTCCCCTTTCTATACAATAACACACGTTAATTCACTCACACAACAGAATGACACGTGTGTATGTATACAACAGACAAAAATGGATGGAATTTCTCCTTTGACGTATAACTTTCTTTAACAATTGTAATGCTGACGAAAGGAAACGTATTTGTTACGTATTAAATAAGACTCTCCCGTCTTTTAAGCACACATCGTAATTGTGAATCGGGATTTTTTATTGTTACGATGGGGTCTTTGTAAAAAAGGCGGTAGATTTTGTGCCCAATTCTGAAAAGGAGACTGAAACTTATAAATATGTGCAATACTTACATAATACTCATAACTATATTTCGCTATCGTTTTCAACCACAGCAAAACAAAAAGAAATCAACTACTATTAGGGACTCCAAAAATATTTCTAGGTTTTGTGCTACTGCATTTATTAACTGTTTGCATCTTCCCTCATATTTTCAATTTCAGCATGCAATAGGAATCACAGAAAACTCATTACAAGTCATAACTGCCACTTCTATACAGAATATCTGCATCTATATTTAATAATACAGTCACCCAATGTCACCGAATATGGAAATTCTCCCCCTAAAAACGCAGGCTACACGTTATGGCATTATCTTGCGACTCCATTTCTTCAAATGACAATATCTTGGTTTATTTTCTGTCTCAAGTACCCACGAAACGTGCCACAGCCCCCTTTGACTTCACCCACCTGTGTCCACATGACGCACATGCCAGACCGAAGCACCACACAAATTCACGTGGCTCCACCGTGAGCTATGGACGAGAACTGAACGTATGCATAACGGAGACAGAACCGGACCAGCGCTCAGGTTAAGTACAGTCACTGCCAACATACTCAACACACGACTCGTCTATGACAGGGGTCGGATTGGCCTATTTCCAAATGTCAACAAAGCCAGCATCTCCAAAATGACCGCATCCCCAAATTTCTTGTACCCAATATACAGACACTTGTTGTTGAGATAGGATGAAATTGTCTCTGTCGAAAAACAGCCTTCAGATGATATACGAGTGAATAACAGGCATCGCTGGAATGATATTGACAAGGGAAAACCGAAGGACTCGGAGAAGACCGTGTCCCAACGCCACTTTGTTCACCACAAACCCTTCATGGACTACCTTAGTATCAAACCCGGGTCTCCGCTATAATAATCCAAAGTTGTAGGTTATACAGTGAAAACATTTGTTGAAGGCACCGAAACATGCAATTCAATCAAAATATCTGGATTTATTTATTTATATATTTATTCGTCTGTTTATTTATTCATTCACTGGCTAAGTCAATAATTAATTTTTGCACTCATTATTTATCTGTCGGTTACAGCCTGTCTCCGTAATGTTTACGGTGAAATAGAAAGTTATAAAAATGTATAAACAAAGCAGCGAGTCACAGCGAATTATTTCACTGCCCAACATATTATCTGTCACTATTATCTTCCATCTGTCTACAAGACATGTCCGCCCGCTAGCAGCATACTGTTAACCTCAGTGATCAGATTCAAAAGATAATATTCTGAGTAACAGAGAAATATTCAGAAGGTGGCTGGTGACTTTAGTGAACACATTTATTCACTCGTCCAAACAAAGAACTTCAAACCTTAACCTCATAAACTTAAAAACCAAGACGCTGATATCGCTGTTAGGCGCTTCTGCTGTTACTATTCTGAAATATGTGTTTAATCACATTACGAATGTTTAAAGACCGTTATAATATCTGAAAGGCTGTATGTACTATCCCTCGAAAATCAGAACTTTCATAATTAATAGCAAAGTCTACAGCGCTGTTCCGCTGAAGCTAGGCTACTAAAGAAACATACTAGTTTAGTTCACATCTACAGAGTCTTAACATCAAGGCATCAACATTACCTGTTTTGCAAATAGAAGTTTCTTCACTAGATTGTAGAACGAATCGAAAACTATTCTAATACTTTTCAAAAACATGTCCTATAATGAACCCATAACACCAAAAGGCGAGTAAGATAAAATCACCTGCCAAACAGTTTCGATACTCCCACTTCGAACTCGATAGCACCGCCGTCGAATTTGATGTTAGGAACAGACACTATCGAGTACTACAACGCAGTTTTCCAAATTGCCTATAGAGCGCAGCACCATCCCATTAAACAGCATTCCCATTTCTCTCCTAAAGCAAGCAACAAATTACGCTGCTTCCCTGTGATTAATAAAAGCCACTCACATATTTCACCTTTCCGCAATGTTGTGCCTATTTTGCATATTCTTATCTCGTGAAAATTACGTACACTACTAATCACACAGGCATAAATCTAGCAATAAGAACAAATCTGCTGCAAGTGACCCGCAGATATTGCCTGGATAACTTCCAACTGTACTAAGTGTAAAATGGGCATTAAGGTGCGAAACTCAATCACCCGAAGTTACAGGGAGAGTTGAGTTTTCGCAGTTTTGTAATATGCCGACAACTATACTCGGTATCTTACAGAAATGATTGATGGGTATGTGTTGAAATCGACAAAGTGACAAGCCGGGAAAGTGTGAGTGGCGGCGACGCAAGGCTGAAGATTTGCCTAGGACATCGAATACCCTTGCACCGTCCCTGATGATATAGCACAAACAGCCTCTGAATTAACACAGTTACTGCCGTCAGATGGCAGACAAGGCTAGACAAAGATAAGTTGTTCATCAACTCAATTTTTGTGCGTTGCGAGCTGACGTGTTACCGCCACAACGAACGGTAAGTGCTTTGTGTTATGGGTGCGATCAAGGTTTCAAACGGCAGGTGATGCACCGGAATTTTTGAAGGTCAAGGAATCCTGGCCAATGTCAGTAAATGTTGTATACAACAAACACAATCATTGCCAACAAGCGTTGAGAGTGTAGCCCAGTGCCTAGTCTTAGCGGTCTTCCGCTCTACAACTTAATTCCATAGTTCTTGTGAAATAATATTCACTGACATTAAAGAAATTACCCGCCTTTTACGGAACAAATAGATTAATTATCGTGTTCACTGGATCAATACTGTCCACATCAAAACATATTTATTTTTACGAACAGTTTTAATATTACTGTTCGTCTATAAGTGGTCTCTTCCCTTCAGGCTTTCGGATTAAACTTTGTAGGCATTTCTCAGCTCTCTCATACGTGCTGCATGACCCACTCATCTCATCCTTCTTGGTTTTATCACCTTGATAATAATTGAGTACAGGTTGCGAAGGCCCTCGTTATTAAAATCCCCTTCTGATACTTCACCTCTGTCAGGTTCAAACATACAAACGGGCTCACTGCAGGCCCCATGTTACCGTATTTATTGGCGTTTCTTCAGTCGCTTTGCAATACCTTGTCAGTGGAAAAGGTCTGCTGAAATTAATTGGGGGAATGATTTATTAAATTCTTGCAGCCGTATCGCATTGTTGCAGCTGATGCACTGTTTCAAACCGGTAAGGCCGTAATTTCAGCTGTTTTGTCGCTCGATTAACGCTTGTCACAGACAAAACACGCGTCCCAAAATGTTACCATTCGATATATTGTTGTCTTATTCGGTACTTCCATTATCAGGGTGTGTTGCTAAATGATTCACAACAGCAGCAAACAACGATTTCAATGCGAAGTAATAGTCGAGAATGAGAACACGTTCTGCTTGTGAATGCGTTATGTCCTTTAAGTTTAACTTGATACAATAAGCAGTTGGCAACAACATAGAAATTAATTAACGTGACATACGATAGGCCATAAGAAAATAACAATCCCAAATCAATGATGATAAATGGTTATAAAGTGATATCTGCTTATCAAATTTAATTAAAATAATAAATCACTCTAATCTAATCTTCACTGTGTAGGTAAATATTTAACAAACCAAGACCCTTTTCAGATAAAAATTATAAATCTTGTGTAAACTCTGTGATAAGACTTGTTAGACATGTGATCACTTTCAATTTTTGTTACTGCCGCATGTACACTGCACACGTTATAGTAGCTACTTCTTAATAAACACGAACAGGACCTTCTTCACTTTGAATACTACAGACCGAAGTTTTCAAGTCTTGATTTAGGCATTAGTAAAGGTAAAAAGTTATAGAGATGAGTAATCAATCTGCTTCAGGTTAAAACCGCCTTTAGAATGTAATGACTTATGGATAGACGGACCATTCTCAATGTTTTCTTCAGAGCAACAACCAGGAACAGGGCCCATGTGTGAAATCAATGGCGATGAGTTTCACTGAAATAGGCATTTCCTTGAAACACATATTCAAGGAAACCTAGGTTTCTACCCGGTCTCTTTTGTTGCAGATGACGTTACCAGATACATATGTGGCCGGTTTCCACGACGAAGCAGCTGTTCGCAAAATGCGATACAATGTCCTTGGCAATACTGGACTAAGAGTGTCGCATTTGGCATTTGGTGCCGGCCCCCTTGGCGGTCGAAGCACATATGGGTAAGCCTGATTTGCCCCATTGTCCTTGTCACCTCCTGAACGATGCTTGTCAGATTAGTTTTATTTTCAATTTATAAAACTATTTTTTTATCCATCAGATTATCTACTGTACTGCTTGAAATTGGTACAGGCGTAACTTCATCTGTTCTGTCGCTTGATGAACACTTGTCACAAACACTTCTTGTGCCCTGAAATGTGGGAGTGGTCATATTCTATATTTCCTTGTCACACAGTTGGGAGAGCCCAGCACCTTCCTTTTCTCCTGAACATCCCTAAGAACAAAAATGATGTTCCAGGGAGTATGACGAGGCTGAGGCTATAGCAGCAGTCCATGAGGCACTGAAGCAGGGCATCAACTACATTGACACAGCACCGTGGTATGGGCAGGGTCGCTCAGAGGAACTTCTGGGAAAGGTAACAGTACTACTGACTCTAGCATCAAATCTCTGCCGGAGACTGGCTATCCTGTCTGAGGGGTCTTGTGTTTTACCTCAGTTCCTCCAAGCAAATACCAGGATAGTACCTCAAATTAGGCCATGATCACTTCCTTTCCAATTCATTATTCACCAACTATAAATAAATATATCTATGGCTTTGTCTTACTATTGCTGTTTCTATGTTTCTAACATATTCTGAATGTATTCTGTGCTTTCCGTCATGACAGTTCTGTACGGAAGAATATATATCAAGGAGTATGCTGTTCCTAGTAAACTATTAAAATTCAAGCAAAATATTATCAGAAAGCCAAAACAACACATATAATGTACTTTTTTCAAAATATATCAACAGTTTCTGTTTAGTGTCAAAAACTTCAATTCACTTTAATTCCAATCAGCTAAGACCTGTTAAAGTGGGATAAGAGATATAAACAGTTTTAAACAAGAATTAACAGAAATTCATATGTGTATGATTTCATTGTTACAGGCACTTAAAGATGTTCCTCGAAATGCATACTACATTGCTACAAAAGTTGCACGATATGAGGTAGATCCCAGGAAAATGTTTGATTTTAGCAGAGGGAAGACATTAGAAAGTGTGGACCACAGCCTAAAGCTACTGGGACTTGACTATGTGGACATCATACAGGTCTCTCAACATTCTCACTCAGCTAATTACAAAAATCTTTAGTCTACTTTGTTGCAGTTTTTATCCATCACAGAATTCTATAATGTACCTGAGTACACAACAGACCTTAAACTGTTAAAAAAAAAAATTACCCACTCTTGTAGAATCTGAAATTTCCCTGAGCCACAAAAGTTCAGTTCACATCTTCACCTATTTCTCTAAGATCCATTTTAATATTATATTCCAATTTGTCTTGCAGTCTTCAAAATGAGGTTTTTAAACCAATATTTTGTGCTGTGAACAAGACATAATGCATTCAGTCTGGACTCTCTTACTACAATATCCAAGATGGTGGAACAGACTCTCCTGCCACCTGTCAAGTCACACTAACAACCTGTGACTCTTCAAACAATGAAAATTTTAAGATACTATGAAATTTTACAAAGGTAAAGGTAAAGTTGTCCCCAGTGTTTAACTAAGCACTGCAACATGAAGATAAATGGGGAATAGAAGTATGCATTCTTAACCCTGGTACCCATTAAAAAGGACATAAAGTGGGTCCTGAATTGGTCTGGATGAAATGACAAAGAAGTCCTGGACTTGAACCCTGCTTATCCAGGTAGCAGCCTAGTTCCCATACTGACAAAATTATCGAGTACCTAATGGAAATATGCAAACAAGACATTTCTTTCTCAAACAAGATGTTTCTCTTTCAAGTTTAAAAGAACTCAGCTCAAAGAGTGAGAAAAACACATACCAATTAAGTACAAGTTGTGCAAAGGCCACATAAAGGATAGTAATCCTTTCTGAAGAAGCGTCTCCACTGTTATAAATCATATAATTTTATATGTTACTTTATAGGGTGCACATAATAGGGAATGTTTTTCCTTACAAACCCATTGTTACCTATAACATTTATTTTTCAGGTACATGACATTGAATTTGCGCCAGATGTGGACATAGTGGTCGATGAAACACTGCCAGCACTTCAGTCTGTTGTGGCGGCAGGAAAGGCACGTTACATTGGAGTGACGGGTTATCCTGTGTCTGTCCTGAAGAAGGCCATAGAGCGCAGCAACACCAAAGTAGACACAGTTCTTTCCTATACTCGCGACACACTCATAGATGACACATTGAAGAAATATTTACCTTTCTTCCAGGTATGTCCACAGAAGAAACTCACTTCTATATCAGTGTCATCCCACCTTACAAGTGGTGACCTCTAGTAACATGAGTTTCATATCAAGTGTAATGAAGGTTGGGGGTTGGTCGCAAGGCAAACAACCTTGCACTGTAAAAAGGAAGATGTTTCGAAAACTCAATCAAAGCCTCGGACAGACGGACCTAACAGAGGACCGAATAGAAGAGGAGAATTGAGGAGGCCATGGACCGAATATGGACCGGAGAGCCAAAGAAGAAGAAGAAGAAGAAGAAGTACTGAAAAGTGCCTCATTCTTTTCTCTTCTTCCTAATTGGCTCCTCCTCAGTATAATTCACCCTAGACAGCCTACAGTTAATAGCCTAGTCACACACTGGCCAGGAAGCCAGACAAGTCCCAAAGTACTTCCTTTTAATTGGCTCGGTATTGACTTGTTCTAGTCAAAGGGATTGGGCATAATCCATGCAGCAGGAGTTTCTATGGGACTGCTGTCAAATGGAGGCCCTATGCCATGGCATCCAGCCCCAGACAACCTCAAAAAAGTATGTGCAGCTGCAGGACAGTACTGCAAGGTGAGTATAAGACCCCCATTAGTGGCTACCTTCATATCTTCAAGAAGAATATCAGAAATTTAACTTAAAGTTAACTTTTCTGATAATATTCAAGTGTTTCACTGTATTGTGGTTGTGCATTACCGAGCTGATCAATTTATCGTATAGGAATATGAAATATAACCCTCATACTATGGGGGCTGCCAGCCAGACTTTAACTCTTGTCAACTGACCGTGCAGATGCTGTGAAACATGGACAGTAAATACCATGTTCAAACATACCCTAAGTCCTGTAATTTAATTAAATACATCTATAGTAATCATTTTGCCTGTGACACCATTTGGACATTACTGCTGTGATAACCTCAAATCTCACTTAACCAAATACTGAGGTCATTATAATACAACACTTGAATTAGGAAACTGTTACCAATAAAACTACTACTATTAAAATGTTAAAAAAAGATCACACATATTTATAAATCAGAACTATGAGATTGAAAGTTGGTCAGCATTTCTTAATTCTCCGCTACTGAATTCTCACAACATTCGACTTTCTAGGAGCGAGGCGTTGAACTTGCTCGACTGGCACTACACTACACAATGGGTCAACCTGGGATTGCCACCCACCTGGTCGGCATGAACAGCCGAGAGATACTAAACTCTAACCTGGATATTTTAAACAATGGATTGTCAGACCTAGAGAAGACAGTGTTGCAGGAAATCAACACACAGTATGTAGTAAATATAATTACCTATATGTTACTGTACTTGGTCAGCCTGATTGCTATCTTATTTAATGACATAGTATCAACTTCACAGGTTATGTAGTGATGAATAATAATAGTGAATGGCTATGAATGAAAAGTATAGAGAAATGTGGAAGGAATCAGTCTTGGACTATTTTTAGATAATAAAGCTAGAATTTGTTTGAAGGATCAGAGAAAACAATGAGAAATCTCAGTCTAGATAACCACTTTCCTGTCCAAAATCTGAATCGCATACGTCCCAAATATATTTTATATGTTGCTACTGAGCCACCTTTGCTACCATATTGTTCTTGTAATTCCACTACAATTATTATTCAAGAATTTTAAGTTAGTCTGAAATATTCTCTCTTGAAATGCTTAATAATGGTTTATCACCTACAGTTTCATACCATCAAATGAGAAATTAGTCAGTAGTTTCATGAAAATAACTTGCCTTGATACAACATAGTTAACACCAACACACCTCTTTTTCTCAGTAACAGAACGTCATAATTCATGTTCAGTATTCCACTCATCGAAGAATAAGACAGTTTGGAATTCCTGAATATGACTGATGTTTATCAAACTGATACCAGTAAGAACTTTTCATGTTGCCATTACAAGAAGCTACTTTTGTTTCAGGTTCTTTGACAAAATCAAGCCAGCTCACTGGGAGGATATTGAAATTAATAACCTCAAGGAGAAGCTTAAAGCTTTGAATGAGTAAAGAAGACAGAAATAAGAACAGATAATTTTTTGCTATGTCAGCTCTTGATAACAGAAATCAAGCCTTCACTTTCAATGAAGATACACATGAAGAAAGCAGACTCAGACATCTTTCAGATTAAATAAAAAAGAAAAATTACTATACTGAAGATATGCACACCAAATAAAGCCAATGAACATATTGTGTATGTACTTTATAATAATATAAAGTGGCCCCCTCCCCATCAAAAGAAGGCAAGTGAAATTAACTTTTTATGTAATGTTAATGTTACTGACATTCCATTCATTTCAATTTTGCAACAGATCTATTTACAATCTGAAGGCAGGAGTAGAACCAACTCCACAATTAATTATATACCTCAAAGCGTGAGCAATGTCCAGCACAATGTTGGTATAATGATTCAATGTATGACATAATCCTACTGGATAATGGGAACGACCCGTTCTTCAAGTGCCTGAGCACTGCGGGTCCCAACCTTTCGTTGGCTCAATCTGTAGACATTCGGTAGGACCCCTTGGATGAGGGATCGGCCCATTGCAAGGCCTCTACCTGTACACAGGACAGCACAACACAGAGAAACGCGGACAAACATCCATGGCTTAAGTGGGATTAAGGCCCACGCCTCAGACTGCGCGGCCACTGCGGACCCCAACATAATCCTACACTTCACTTGAACTTTAATGCTACAAACACAGCATTACAAAACTCATCTTAACAGTGAAGAATAACGGAAAGAAGTAATATATGGTGCAGAGCAAATATTTTGAACTGTACCATAACGTTAGAATGTACGCATGGATGTGCTGTTTGCAAAAGATCTGAGAAGATGGATGACTTGTCAGTATATCAGCACGTAACTTGCTTGCTTGACTTTCCTTCCATGTTTTTCACCAAGTCATTAATTCCAGTATACCCTGGTGAAAAAATTCTATGATACAATGCACAGCAACTTGGAGGAAGACTGAAAGGATAATCACAACTAAGAAATGTTTAATAAATGATAGATGAATCAGCAACATGGTATTATTCCACCTAAATGTTCTGTTCCATTATCACAGAATCCTTATTTCCTGTCTTTGGTTTATTTTTGTGTGTATTCGTAACTAAAAGTTTAAAAAACGAGTCTATTTATTACTTTTATCATGTCTACCTGCCTGTTCTGTTACTCCACATATAACTTCAGAATTGCTGAATGGATTTTGATGGCACTGATACATTGGTGTGTAAGTATTTGTCAATAAATTCCAGTTCTCTTGAGATTGGACATCAATAATAGGCACTTTACACAAAGACCTACAAGCATCTTTGTGCTTGGTAGTGACTGGGTGGGGGAGTCCCTAGCCAGCCGCACAACCAAGAGGGGAACATCCAATGATGATAAAATCCAGCCAGACTGACTCCAGACATCCTGCCCTACAAAGGTCCTTTCTACCATTCAAAAAGGGCAAAGATTAAATGTTGGCATATGCACCAGAATTGTCACTCTATGTGTACATTTTCTAACTTGTTCATTACATCATGGAAAATATACAAAAATTTCTCAATCACATCACAAACTACTGAACACTGGTAAGTAAAATTATCTGTAAGTGGAAGTACCACTCAATGACGCATGAAGGAAAATCTTCCATGCAATCTTAACCTCAGCACTAAAATAGATTAAGGAATGGCAAATCTCATGAGGAGCAAATACAATTGATCAAAAGTAATATGGCAATAAGATTAGCCTGTCTACAGTGCACGATGTGAGCTTATGACAGAGTGACCAAAAACATCTAAAACCAAGTTACTTGATGCTTATAAACCTGCAAAGAGGATAGACAGACATTCCCATTACTAAACTAAGGTTCAATATGATAGCAAAACTAATACACATCAATCAAACGCCCAAATGTCTGTCTTAGTCTCTTACTGCTATGATGTAATAGACTGACATGCCCCACCCATTTTGGCCTATTCAGTTCATGTCATACTTGATTCCAGTCCTGCCAAATGATGACTTATTCAATGAACAGAAAGAGCAAGACACTGAAAGAAGCAGGGTGATTGATTCCTTAGGTCACGTTCCTGATGCAGCTCATAACATAACAGGGTAATTTATTATGTTACACACCAGAAGGAATTTTCCAAAACCATGGTGTAGTTGAACCATAAAATAACTTTAAGAGAAATTAATATTTAGAAAATCATGATTTATATACTTCTTTGATAATCTGATCTCTGCACAAACACAAGAATACAATGACAAAGATCTGCTCATTTAGCAGAATCATCGACTACTTGGATGATAATGTGAGAAGTGTAATTCTATACAAACCAGGAATTCTGGTGAGATACAGAAAGGATGAAAGTCCTGAAACAGCAACTCAGCTTACAGAGTAGACCTGTAGGTAAGGAACCAGACTCTCATATAACCA